TGTATTTAGAAAATACGCATTTTTTAAGGGCTATATATTTGAAGTCGATCGTAATATTCTGATTTATTTTTTTTTTTTAGGCAATGAAATTCGGATTGCCTATCCCGAGAAAAAAATTCCTGAGGGATTGGAAGCAGTTATATGGGAAAGAAACTTTAGAAGGTATACAAATTATATAATTAAATTGTTTTTGCTATAACTATGCATGTTTCATCATCTTTATTCCTTATTTAGATTTTCCCGTGTACTTAGACTTAATTAGAATGAAAAGAATCGCTCCATTATTTAAAAATATAAAATTTGAAGATATTTTGGAAATGAATTCTCAAGATTTAAAAAGTTTAGGTATTGAGTTGGCAAAAGATAGAGTTAAATTGATAAAGAATTTTTGGCGTATTAAACGCAGAATTGTATGTAGTCTTTTTGATACGAATTTATTATTATTATGTATTTTATTTTATATTTATTTTATTTTTTTAAAATAATATTGAATTGACGTTTTACTTATTGTTATCATAGTTCTTTGAGAATATAATCAAACGAATTGAAGATCAAGATTCCAAATAAATCTAATTGAAATTTTAAAAAAAAGTGCGCTTAAAATAATAGTGATCTTATTCTAAGGTAAAGTTCTTATACGTTGTGGATGATGGATTTAGAATTCAAAGTTCATTTAAGGTTAATTCTGAATCTATTTAAGTAGATTCTGAATTTCAAATAACTTACATAGAAATGTATTTTAAAATTGTCAGGCGAAATAAAGTTTAATAGAAAGTAATATAAATAGGTTAAAAAAACATTGCAATTCTGTTTTCTACGTCGTTTTTAAACAATTTATTTTCTATATTTAAATTAGCTCTGTACTATTTAGTTGACAGTACCAATTGAAATGTATACCTGATGCATTGTAAAAATTATTCTTGTACATTTGTATAAGCTATAGTAGAAAACAATTCCAATTCTAGTGCCTATCATGCTTCATATTAATGTCTCGGATGATGTTGAAATCGGATGATCATGAAATCTGAGGGCCTTGATTAAAAATATAAACCCTACTAAAACCCACCTAAACACTTTTATTATAAACTCTAACCCTAAATCCTAGTCCAAATCTAAAAAAAAAAAAAATATACCCTAAAAATTTTTAAAAATCGTACCTATATATCATCCGTGACAATTAATTTGCGTTCACATAGAAAGTATTCGTTTTTATTGTAAATGCAATACTAAAGTCCTAATAAATAAAGATTATTGCGTCCGTTCGTTCCAAAATTAAACAACTTTGATAAAATCGTTCATTTTTGCGAAAGGGACATAATATCCAATATTTAGTGTAAATTGTTAATAATATAGGGCTCTAAAAGGAAATTTTCATAGCAAAGAGCTAATTTAAGCTAATTTAGTTTCTTACTAGCACTATTAACGAGCTTTCGACGAGGCTTTTTGACTGAGAATAAAAAATTAGAAAATTTTCATACTCAGTCAAAAAGCCTCGTCGAAAGCTCGTTAATAGTGCTAGTAAGAAACTAAATTAGCCTAAATTAGCGCTTTGCTATGAAAATTTCCTCTTAGAGCACTATATTATTAATAATTTACACTAAATATTGGATATTTTGTCCCTTTCGCAAAAATGAACGATTTTAGCAAAGAACCTTTTTATTATGATGCTTAATTTTGGAGTGCCGTAAATTTTATGATTATTTTATATAAATAAACATAAAGAGCGACGTCTAAAGTCTGTAGTATTTTATGTTTCACATGAATGTTTACAAATGTAATCCATTTAATCAGATCACGTTGTTATAAGGCTTTAGCATTATGTACCTGCAGAAAAAAAATATTGTGTGGATGTGTTTTATGCAATGAATGCAAAAATTAGCGTGGATGTATTTATAATAGTGTATGCAAATTTAGTGATTAGTGTTTAGGCAATTCATTTTTCCGGGGGGATTTTTTTAAAAAAATCACTTTTTTAGCCTAACTTTTTTATTAATCAGTAAATTCATAACAATTTTAGCATAACTTTTTTATTAATCAGTAAATTCATTACAATTTAGCATAAAATTTTTTGACTATGCTAACTTGCCTCCTGAATTAAATCACCTGGGGTGCTAAATCTCAAAAACGCACTAAGTAATTAAAGTTAGGGATTCTAAGTAAAAATGTTCAGAACCCCAAAAACCTTATGCGTAACAAAATTTTGACCCTAACCCTAAAAAAAATATAGGTGGTTAAATCACCCCTTTTTTTTTATTTATTAATTAGTAAATGCTTACATCAATTTATGGGCCAGATAAAAATTCGGCTGAGTTGAGTGTATTGCTGTATTAGATGATAATGATTCATTTGTTATATTACTAAATTGTTGAGGTCTGGAACCTTAATATTTAGATTTTACCATACCGGGTTGGTGAAAAGTAACTGAACAATGACCTTTTTTTAACCACTATGACTATTATTTTAACGTTTATTGCAATGATTACCAAACGTTAAAATGATAATCATACTGATTAAAAAAAAAGGCCACTGTTCAGTTACTTTTCACCAACCCTCACCGATCACTATACTGTATCAAGATCACGGAAGGATTATTATTACTAACAAGGTTACCACCAACAGCAGTAATAACGATAACTTTAGAAAGTGGTTATTACTTATTATTTCAATATTCGTTTAATAAATTCATATACAGTATAATTTTTATTATACT